AATAAAAATCCTCTCTTCCTCATTGTACAACAAAACCACACACTCTATTAGAAGGTACAAAAGCCTCGACCATTGGCATTTATTACCTAAACTGAGTAATAAAATCACTGAGACAAGAAATAAAGTATCTATGGTTTTCGAAAGAAATTGCTCAATGAATACCTTTAGGTAGATGGAATGATACAGAGCAATGCACTTCTTGAACCCCATGATCCATGTTTTATTATACACACGTACAAACATATACAAGGGGAGACCCTTCCTTAACTGGAATTATCTTCTGGAGGGTGGGCCCCCTGTAGTACAGGCTTCCCCTCTCCCCACATGAGCGTTCTGGGAATCCATCTGTATCAGTGTACCCAACTGGTGGTGTTGTGAGAGGCTGCATGGTGCTTCAGTGAATTTTTTTTTGAAGATTCTTTTAATGCATTTGCCCATTTCATGATGGGTGATTTATTAGTGCGTCTGCCCACATCTCACTGAGTTTTCTGCAGTTTTTGATCAAAAAAGGCATAAGACCCATGCCCCCACCATTCACCTGATCTCACCCTAATTGACATTTTTGTTTCCCCAGATGAAAAAAGTCCTCAAAGGGAAATGTTTTGCCGACGTGGAAGAGGTGAAACAAAAAACAGCAGAAGCACTAAGACATCAAAATTGAAGAGTTCAAAAACTATGTTGAGCAGTGGAATAAAGTCTCAACAGGTGCACTGCATCAGATGGAGAGTATTAGAAGGTGACTGAAGTTTAAGCATGTGAGAATACACACACAATTTTTTTATAAATAAATTCTGTTTTGCGGGGGTCCTTCCACCCCGGTGCACACCCTACTTCTGGAAAACTTCAAATGAACAGTTGTGAAGCAACATGAAAATACCCTTCCAGCACTCTCCAGCTGTATGCCTGTTCCTAAATGAGCAGGTAAAACCCCACCCAAGCAATCCTAGTGAGGAAGCCAGAAGTACCTTTTCAGTCCTGGGGAAATGCAGGAACCTGAAAGTTACATATGCCCATACTATCCCTGTTATTCAAATTCAAATAAGAACTTCAGGAACTAAGGGAGTGCTAGGCACACCTGGATGAGAGCTACAGATGTGCAGAAGCACCACAGGCTCAAAACTAATGCAACTCCATCCCTGGAGCCTTAAAAAAACGTGAAACACGTAAGAAAACCTCATGATTTCTAGAGACAAACACGTACAATTTCTGGTAATAGTGTGACCCAATAAAAGTCCCATTAAAAATCTACTAGACATACAATGCAGATTTCATCTAGCCCTTGTAGAAATAGTATACATTTTAGAAGAGCATCCTGCCCAATGTGCACCTCTGCCAAATCACCGGGATCTTCTGTCTTGTACTATTTTAATGAGACGGTTTGTTAGAGCCTGATGTACTACCAAATAGCTTTAGAAAATTTGAATGAAGCCTCTGGGATGTTTGGGAAAGGGAAAAACCTGACTATTCACTAGCTACCTTGAGCGATTCTTAAAATTAAACAAAGCCCCCAAAATACGATCATATGTGCAACGTAAGGGGAAAGGCCTGTAAGTGTATATGGCTTCTTCTATCATCTATAATCAAGATTTCAGAAGGTACCATCTAAACCAGCCCTGTCCAACAGAGCCTTCCACTGTGATGTCCAATATGTTAGCCAATGACCACATGTGGCTATTAAGCACCTGAAATGTGGCTGGTCCAACCGGGGAAAAGAACTTTCTATTTTAATTTATTTACATTTAAATAGCTACATGAGGCTAGTGGCTACCGTTAACAACCAATACAGCTATGGATGCTACAAATATTTTATTAATCAGGTAACTGCATGGCTTTGAATCAGAGCTCATGGCATTATACTTTTTCAGGCTTACAATGAGCCATTATGTTTTTACAGAAAAGGTTCTTTAATAGAAATATCATACACATGAAATTATGACTTAATGCTAAGAAAAATAAATTGCTGTCCAATTTAAAAAAGATTTGTTATCAGCATAAGAAAAATAAGTGCTCATGTGACGCTCCACTCATTTTCATATAATTTTACTTTTGAGGTTGGTCATTTTGCTGCATCAATATAGACTTTATTTGGACCTTATTCTTAGTGTTTTTCCTTCACATACCTAGATGAGGTAATTTTAAATAGCTTTAAAATTACTTGCAGGAGATAAAACGAAACATTAACTGACAGAGATGCCACCAAAGAGTCCATTCCAAAGGTTTTATTTCAAGTAGTATTTCTGCATTTTCCTGGTCAATCTTCAGGATCAAGTAGTTGAAAAGATCTGTACCTAGAATCATAGTAATACCTACCCAAAACATGAGGCCATGAAATCTTTCTATTATTTGTGATTTCTAAAAATAAACAGCATTCAAATATCAATAACAATTTAACAGTAAGAAAAAATAAAGGAATAAAAGATAAAGCTAAAAAAATCTTTTCATATACCCAAAAATTGTAGATATTTCGGCATACCCTACCTTCTAATCCTCCACAATGTATTTCCAAGAGCTATGTAATTTTCTAAAGTACTGAGTGAGTGCTAGCGTACTGAGTGAGCGCTAGCAGTCAAAGGAACATAGGCAGTCAATGGGAAATAAAAACCTTGGAAATTATGAACCTTTGAAAAACAATTAGGTTGCATGCTGCAATAATTTTTTATAAACACAGTTTTTAAACCTTTTGACTATTAGATATAATTAAACTTTTGCTAATTGTTCAAACATAAGCTGTACTAGGAACTGCAATTGTACTCAGAGGAATCTGGCGCAGGTCGGGAAAAATAACTAAGAGCTGTATTAACACGTGATTTAAAATTTCCTTTAATTTTGATAAATTATGCTATGATAGGCAAAGCACAGCAGACAATTCATTATAAATTTAAGAATGGAAACAATCATGTTCAAAATAATCCTGGTTGTGAACAGGAAAATTACCTTACTGAAAAAATATAATAAATATGCAGCAAATTTACAAAAGTCAATTATATTAAGGTGATTTAAAAAGAATGCTTGCTACAAGCCTTTGCCACGAAAGTAGAGAAAAAGAAATTGATGGATGTAACAACAGGCAGCAGAACATAAATGGTCTGATTTTACCATTTTAAAATAACACCACAGAGTCCTCTGAATTTTCTCCTCCTGTTGGCTATAACTCTCAGAGCACAGGCTTTAACTTTTCTAGGAGTAAGTATTTAAGAAACTTATTTTTAATTTAATAAGTAACTCATAAAAGCTATCACAAGCAATTTAGGGAAAGCCACCATTGCTGCACCCCAGCCACCGAGCAACTCAAATATACTGACACAGAAAAATAATTCAACTCCCAATCTCTTAATACAGTGATAAAACAAAAAGTTCCACTTCATTTTTAAAGACATAGGCTCAAGATACTCTCAAAGCTATTGAAGAAGTTAATTAGGAAAAAGCAGAATTTTAGTTTAAAAAATTAATTCATGGCATGTAAAATGGGGCCCAGCAATTTGCAGGACATTCAAGGAATATAAAAAAAGTGTTAAGATTGCTTCCAGTGCAAACATTCTGCATAAAAATTACTTCAATTTCTTAAGAATTAACCTATTAACAGTATTTCTACACCAAATATAACCATTTTTGATGACATAAACATCCCCATGACAGGCCTTTGATATGAACAAAAATGGCACTCAGCTCCCTGAAAGAATCACAGTTGACACTCCCCAAGCAGCAACAGCAGTGAGCCGTGATGTGCTATGCTGCTGCTTTCACATGACACAAACTAACCCCCAAATGGCTATTGCTTCCTTTACCTAGGAGGTTAGTAAAGAAAAGTCCTTATGATCATTAGGGGATTTAAAATACCCAGTGGCGCCAAAGACAAAAACCCAGAGCTCAAGGAATAAAAGAGATCATAGGTATGTCTGCAAATGGGCAGAGACAACTTTCCCAGACCCTTGGGAGCTGGGCCAAGTGGAACTCACACATGGGCAAGAGAGGGGCCGGCAGATAAAAACAGTCCAGAAGGTGGAGTAGGAAGAAAGTTTATCAAGTGCATGGCCCTTCTTCAACAACAGGACAAGGAACACCTTGAGGTTCAGGAGGTGGGTGCTGGTGCCCCAGGCCTCTTATCATTTTGGGCTAGGTGAGCAGCTGCATGAGGGGGAGAGCTGGCTCAGTCCCTGTGGGGAATGCAGAGGCCATCCATTATGTTCCAGAAAATACATGTTGCAGAAAATGTGCTGGGGACTCAAAACAATGGACAAATTGTTTCTTGTGTCTTCTATCCATTTGTGCTTGCAATGTCAAGGGAATAAACTTTTCTGAGTAGGAGCTGGGTCCCGGATAAAAATAGTAGATCTGGAGTTTGGGAAGGAGGAGAACAAAAACAAAGTGAAGGACTAGAAGACAAAGTCAATCCAAGAGCAGGACATCTGCGGGAGTGAAGGAGGGGACAGACCAGGGGGTGACACAAAGTAAGTTTTAGAAAGTGAGATATCAGAGCTCTGTGCAAGGTCAGTTCTCCTCTTTTGGTGTCTTAGGTTGTGAAGACATTTCACAAACAATTCAATAGGTAAAGTTGGTTCCACAGATTCCTTCTGCAAACTGGGCCAGTAGCAAACTGCTTTTAAAAGCTTCATTAAAATGTCAGGCCCAAGGCGCAAAGAGCAAGACAAAACACATTAAATGGAAACATTTAAAGAAAAGCAATTCAACAAATTTCTTTATCCTCGTTATAAATATGTACCAAATCAAATGTCTTTCTCATCTTTTTACTTTCCATATTTACATGAAATGGAGACAAGCCATTCTTTTCAATACCTAATGGATCTAATACAAGCCATCATGCAAACACACCTGCCTGACTAAACAGAAGCAGCAAGAGTGGAAGCTCAGGTGTCTGCCATTATATCTGACAACAACAGCTCTTCAAAAATCCCCAAATTATCCAAAATAGTATTTTTCTAAAAGATAGCCTACCATTCAGAACAAAAATAAAAGAGCCAGAGTAGTGGTAAGATACCTACCCCATAAGGCAGCACACAGAATCTCAGAATTAAATCTCTTCTTATATTTACGGATCTCTGGGGTGTCACTCTGTGGCCTAGTGTTGGTGGGATTCACATTGACCACTGAGCCCTTCCGGGTAGGATCTTGCCTTATGGCTTCTGGTCTCATTCCATCACAGGAAAATCCCACTAAAATACAAGTATATTTGAAATTATTTTCTGCCCACACCAACAATGTGCCTGCCTCCCTCCCCACTACACTGAGGAAATATTTAGGTGTCATTAACTGAGTCTTTGTGCAGGAAAAGAAACTTGTAGGTGATGAACATGGAAAAAGGAAATCAACTATGCAGCTCACTGCAAATAAGGCAATGCAAGCAGGATGGGTGCTTGTGTATCTAAGGTCTGCACCTGCAACGGCCACCATACCATGCCTAAGCCACCGGAGGGAGCAACACAAAGTAACCAAGTCCTGTTGGTCAGCTGCTTTCTTGTTGCTGTTTTACTTACCCACAGAAGTCACTGTTGTCCCACTAGATGGAGAGATCTGTAGTAATCTGGGGTCTATAAAAGGTGTAAAGGAGGAGGAAGATTTGTGTTTCTGGAGTGTGCTACTAGCGGACTGAGTCTGCAATGTAAATTTCAATTTTATTAATACAATGACATTAAAAAGATAAACATTAGAACAGTTCAACCCACTCCTATACTTTACTATTTCCCAATACAAAGCCCTAGCCCTCCTGTATCACCCTCCAAAACACTTTTGAGGGTGCCTCTGCACATGCCCAACACTCTAAACAACATGCTGCTTACATCTCTTTTCAGGAAGATTGTTCATCCAAGGCAGGAATGCTGCATGCTACCAATAAAACCTACACTTCATGCTCCTAGGTTGTTTGGTTTTTTTTAAACAAATAATTATAACAACTTCTAAAGGAGGTTTGAAGTGTCTTGATCTCAATTCATCAATTTCTGAATTTACTCTCCTGTCCGAAAAAGTCCAATTAATCTATGCTGGAAACTTGGCAAACCTTAATTTTATACTACTTTTTATAAAGTGAGCTTCTTGACAGAAAGCTATAGAAGCTTGGCTAACATAATTTTAGATGCATCATCATAAACCCATATCAAACAGGGCTCCATATTGAATGGTGCAAATGACAAAGTAAGCCATATTCCTTAGGTCTTTTAGGAGCGAGCAATAGTGTTTTGGTTAATAATGTAACTTAAAGGGAAAAAAAACCCCCACAGAGAAAGTGAAACAAATTGTTAAGTGAAAATGTAATGACAATTAAAAACAAAACAAACAGAAAAATAAACTTGCCAGTTTAGTGAGTTAAGGGTTATAGTAAATACTGTACACTAAAGCAAAATGGAGCACAGCTGAAATATAAATATAAGGAGGAGTGTGAGTGCAGGTGGGATATATCACTAGAGAAAACAGAATTTGTCTGCTTGGATGCTTTCATCCTATACCATTTTTCCTGTGTGGGCAGCTGAAGTCACCATGGCCCAGAGCCCATGCCCTCCTAAGCTCCCAGGCTCTCTGCTCCCAGCTGACAGAGCTGCCTGCTTACAGGCTTCCTGTCCTTATCCCATGATCTGTGGTCAATCCAGCCCATGGCCAATCTGATGCTGAGTCTGCACTGGAAGCACTGGACTTGTCCCTGTTCCTCAGGGGTAGAGGATTATTCTGATTTTTTCTAACAAGGGAACCAAAATAGAAGCAGGTGGACCAGCAGTTAAATGTTCACAATGACAAAACTGGCTGAAGCTACATGCCACTTTTAACCTCCTTCAACTATTAGACAAATGCATTTAAATCAAACCTCCTATGAAATCAAATCACTTGTTTAATTCACGAACAGGGTGTTCAATGTACACTCTGCCACTGCACTGATAGGAAGTGGGGTAGGGGTGCATTACCCTGTTCCAAAGAGCAAAGAATCACCCAACTAACACCCAGACTAGTACCACAGCCAAGCCTTTGGATGAGCATGCAGGGTTTCCCATTTACAATTTTACATTAAAAGTACACTCAGATTTTCTTGCTTAACATCCTAAACATCTAGGTTTCCCCAAAAAACATTTGGCCTCTTCTTCAACTCTGAGTGACTGCGTATTTCAAGGAAAAATTCCATTAACAGGGTTGGTGAAAACAAATAAGAGAGTAATCAATCCACAGTACCCCCCAAAACAAAAAACAATGTAGCCCTGTTTGAAGGAAATTTCTGCTCAGGATGACAAGTTTGTCCAAGTCTACTTAACCAATTTTTCCTGTATTTTATTTACTGGATAAAAAAAAATAAAAGGCAGATTCCAGAAATGACTCTAAGAGTTACATGTAAATACAGAAAGGATCTGAGAACACAGCAATCGCTTTATTTAGACTTTTAAACAATAAACTGAGTACAGAAAGCCATGCAAGTACACTGATCTAGAGAACAAAACATGACCTGGAGCATTTGGAGGGAAACTGATCTAGGTTAAGGGATTTGTATGCAGATCTGAAACATGTTACTTAAGGGTTGGGGAGAAGGGTAGGTGATAGAAGAACGTGGGTGGGGAAGGAAAGGGTAGGGGGTGCTGGAAAGGTCTCCTTTGCAAACTAGCTACTAGGCAGTGCTGGTCTAACCCTAGGAAAGCAGCCAGCTGTGGTGCAAGACATACCTCATTAGTAGTGAGCTTGTCCTGGGGTGTCTGTGGGGACATGGTGGGTGTCGGCTGGCTGGAAGATGGGGAGGAGGAGGTGGAGGAAGTGGAGGAGGAATGGCTTTGCTGTAAGAGATCTGGCAAGAGGTGAATGCGACCGGCAAAGCCATTGCTCTCATGATGGCTGGCACGCTTTTGGTCAACTGTACTCTGTAGAAAAAACAGGCACACTTGTCTCGCTCAAGAACTGCTGCAATTGCCTAGGACCCTACAGATAACTGACTTTATTCGGGTGCTGTGTGACTCTGCAATTACATTATCAAGGAAAGACTGGAGGAAATTAGCCTGAATTACTCACACTTCCTTGCTGAATGCCCAAGTTGGATCAACAGAACTCAAAGTACCTCATCTGGTGGCAACAGGATCTGAGCAGTAAGTGTTCAGTCTGGTTTATCTGCCACACTCGCTGCTGTTCTCAAAATCATGAGTAGTGTTTTTTCTTTATAAATATTGCTGTATGAAGCTCTAGAAAGTACCCTGTCACTTCTCTGAATCCTGGTCTTTTCCATGCTCTTCCCACTTTCCATCTAAGTGCATTGCCATAGCATAAGACACATTCAGGGAAAAGTCGAAAATGCTGGGTAGGTGGCCCTGTTCTATTTAAATGAGAAGCAGATCACTTTCCTTCAGCTAAGTTAAGAAATGAAGAGACAGTTGAAAAACTTAATAAACTACACTGAGTGTATCAGGTGGTACACATTTAACAGTCAACAGTAAGGAAACCAACATTTTGGAACACACAGAGCAACCTCCCTGTGACGGCTGAGGCTCGTCCACTCTGGTGGAGCCAGCCTGACTCCACTCCACTGCAGCACTGCAGGTTCTCAGAGCTGAAAGCTCTTGCAGAATCACTGAGGCTCTCTGCTACAGACTGGGCTCTGCCCCCAGCTCTACAAGCCTCCTGAAGGATGCCCTGTGGCTTTTCTACTACCAGACACAGACTGTGAGATTCAGCATGGTGCTTGAATGAGGGCTGCCGCAGAACATGCAGAGGAGCAGCAATGTGAAGTGGAGGACTGCAAGCACCTTCTTGGCATGCAGCACATACCTGCCTCCCTAGCCCAGATACTTTACCCTCTGGGTCTTGTTAACATGAAAACAGATGATGATGTAGAAACAGTATGAGTGAGTGAATGAGCAAGTGGGTTAATGACTACAGAAGAAACTCAGCCTCTGACAATAGTACAGAGACATGGGTACCTGGCGGACAATTAGTGTGCCCTCCTTGGATGGGGTCATGGCTGGTTCACTTTCCACATCATCATGGACAATCATGGTTTTCACAGATTCTGTTTCACCATTGCTCAAATTCAGAGATGACCTATTGAGAAAAAATCCAGAAGTGAAGGACTATGAATACCATTAGTTGAGGATATTCTATTTATATACTTTTCACCTTCAAAAAAATCATTAGAAGAGATCAGGCCACAGGCAGAACATTTTCTTAAGTAAAATAAATGTTTAGGGCTTTCCCTTTCAACAAGTTCCTGCCAGTTTGGAATTGAGCAAAAACAAACAAACAAAATGTTTATGGTTAATTAAAGAAGTTAAACCAAACTAAAATTTCCCTTTTATCATATCTTCAAATTAAAAAGAAAAAATAAAATACACATTGGGAAGTTTAGGAGAGGCACTGAAACACACACACAAACAGATGGGAGAAAACATACAAGCTGCCTGCTGCTGAATCCATAACTACATGTTACATGTTCACAGAATCTTATGACAGATTTAAAAAAAACTGTCTGGTTCCAAGTGGAAAGATTCAGTGGGGGTGTTCTTATCCTCTCTAAAATACACCAAGGACTGACGCTGCTCTGGTGTCCTCTGGTCCAGACATGGGTTCCCCAGTCCCCTCCTGCTCTGCGTCATCCTCCTCCTCATCCGTCGTCCCCGACTCCTCGCTGGATGAAGAGTAGTCTGTCACTTTGTGTGGTGGTCGCACATCTTCAACTGCTCGAAGCTCTTTAGCCAGTGCAGTCAAATCCTAATACAGAGGACAGAAAAGGAAGTAAGGCCAGGGTGGGCGGGGTAGGGAGATTGAAAAAGAAAAAAGAGCAATGAATGAGAAGTTCTTCATTTTAACCGTTAATAGCCACATCAGTTTTGTAACACTGTTTTGTAGAGACTTAAACCTTTTGATAGAAAAGACCAAAAACAGACAAAAGCATAAAAAACAAAGTCAAAGATGCTGTATAGAGTTCAAATATCACACCAAAAAACCCTATAATAACCTGTCTCTGATAAGCAGATAACATTTCTTCTCAATTATAAAATAAAATTCTAGATCAACAAATGTCTGCAGACAGATCCTTGGAGTTTGTTATAAAGATACCTACTTACACAACAGTCTTCTTTTAAGGAGATTATCCACAAAGCGAGAGTCTAGTTAAATAGCACTCACTTAAAGTATGTATTTGGTGAAGTTTTTAACTTTTAGTTTTAAAAATTTCAAACCAACAAAAAAGTGCAAGAGTAAAGTGAGCTGCAGTATACCATTCATATCTTGCTTCACCAATTGTTAATAACTTGCCACATTCTTATCAATGTTTGTGACATACGACGTGAGAAAGTGGTAGCCACACTGCTGTGGGCAGGAGGCAAGCCAGGCACCCCTGTCCCTGCCTTAACCCAGAATCTTCAAATCACCACCCTTAATAGTGCCAATGAATATAATGAACCTCAGAGAGAAAGGAAATCGATAGTAAAAGTTATTATTAAAAAAAAATGCTTCATTTCCCTTTACTATTCTATACTATTTTGAGACTCAATCAATTATCCAAATATAATTTCCATGTGTGATTATTATTCATATTCTACATTTTCATATAGAAGTCTAAAGTGTATCTTTCTAATTGGGGATTTTATTTAAAAATAGTGACTTTTGAAAATGGTGCCATCTGAAAGGTCATGGGTTCAATTCCCAGTCAGGGCACATGCCTCGGTTGCATATTTGGTCCCCAATCAGGGTACATATGGGAGCAAGCAATTGATGTTCCTCTCTTCCTCCCTCTCTCTCTCTCTCCCTCTCTCTCTCCCCCCCTCCCTTACTCTCTGGAACCAGTAAATATAAATCCACAAGTGAGAATTAAAAAAAATAATAATGATGAACTTTTACAAAGCAGGCTATGTAGCCATCTACCCTCCCCCTTGTTTTTCAGCAGTTCCAACAGAGTTTTCTTTTTCTCCTCAATGAGGAACGTGTGTTTTTTTTTCTTTGAGCTTGAGCTTCTCAAGTAGTAATGATCAAGTATTGCACCTTGAGCCTTGAAAACCATTTGATGGCTACAGTTGTGGCTTTTTAAATTTTTTTTAAAGTTATACTTAATAACAAAAAAATGCATGCAGCAAATTCTGCGTGTTTAAAAAAAATGAGGCAAAAGTTTAGGGTTTTTTCATTCTAGAAAAGAACAAAAAGGCGAGTTGAAAAAGGAAAAGCAATGTAGATGGAATATAAGGTAAGTTTGAAAGGTAGTTAGAGAGGTTCTCTGATGCTGAATATCCAGAGATGGGCTTACCACTTCACCCTGTGGTGCAGCCGCAGTCCATTGAGCCAGCAATGAGGAGCACACACACAGCCCAGGGAAGCACAGGAAAGAGAAGGGAATACAAGGAGTACAGAAGTCAATTCGAACAGGAAATCATAATTCCAACAGGCTTAAAACTCCACGACATGAGTAGAGACAGGCCAGTTAATGCAATAAGGATCAAGAGAGAAATATGAGAAAATCACAACTGCCATCCTAGGTACCAAAAGGCAGAACTTAAGTTAACAGGCGATTTTAAAAAGGTAATGGAAAAAGATTTATCCTAAAAGCCAGTATTATAAATCCCCAACTCACCGAGAATGCATAAAGGTTAATGCAAAGAGATAAAAAAGCTTTTCTTTCTTTTGTATTTTTTCTTTTAATAACTAAGTTAGGAAGGGTGCAGAAATGTGTGTGAGGTTTATGGCACTCATTACAATGCTTCAAATCTGTAAGGGGGCCCCAGAGAAAGCACTGTGCCTCTCAAATACATATTTTTAATAGAAAGATCTCACTCGAGCTTAAAATAAGTAAAACTGGTTTTGTGCAATTCTTACAGCGGGCTTGAGAGGTCTAAACACTTCTTTTTTGTCTTCAGTTTTTTTTGCTGCATTTTCAAGGCGCTGAGATGGAGAACCTTCAGATTTGGATGATGCTGTGAAGTTCAAAAGAAACGAGAAAGGTGGATACTTACAAACATCCACATGTGGGCTACAAGGCAGACCCAGCCCATCCAGCCTTTGTTTCTCACCACCTTGTTCCCCTGCCCACTTCTGTTAGCCCCATTCATGGCAGGGTTTCCATATGCAGGCCTGGACTCCAGGGCTTCTGACTCCTTACTTAGACTCCATCAACACATTGGAGTTCACAAGACCCTGTTATGTCAATAATACTGTAGAGGGAAGCTTAACTGATCTATTATGAGTAGGTTTAAATAACCAATATTGATGGAGACTATACTGAAAGAAGTAGGTTCAAATTTGAACTCAGACATTTAACTAATCACCTTGGACAAGTTACTTAATCTTGCTAAATTGCAGTTGTTGTAATCTGTAAAATGGATACACTGCACTACACACACACACACACACACACACACACACACACAACAACAACAACCCCCCCCCATGGGGTTATTATAAGGATTAAATGAGATAATGCATGTAAAGTGCTCACAGTACTAGGCATGTATAAGTTCTCAAAAGTTAACTCTATTATTAAAACTGTGATGACTACTATTAGCATCACAGTGATATCTTGTGATATGCAGCTATGTAAAAACCACAGGTCTGTTTACATGATTATAAAGGATTTACAGTACACTAATCATAGTCCAATATCATTCACAGGGAAAGAGAAACAGAAAGTCATCCTACATCTCACTCGGAAGCGCTCTCCAGAGCCACTCTGAGACCCAGGCTGGGAGCCCGAGTTGCTAGACCCCGAGGAGCTGCCACTGCCAGGCCTGGGCACCAGCTTCTCCACTCTTTCCCACAGAAGCCTGGGCTCAATACCACTGCTGGAAAAGAAGAGGAGACAGTAGCTAGTGTATTATTCCTAGGCGCAGCACCAAATTAAAAACACAAACAGCATTCAACTCACCAAAGGTTTTAACACTATCCATGGGTTTTATCTCGGATATCCTAACAAAACAAAAATGCTAAATGATATCCTACCATTAGCAGACCCAAAATCTTCATCAGACAAGAGAGGGAATGCTATTGTTTGATCTGGAAGTGTTACTATTTCTGTCATAGCTACAAATTTAGTTTCTTATTATAAAAAAATTCAATTTAAGAAATTACAGATAAAATTATACCATTTCCAGGCTACTGCTCTTGCCCAACTTACACTTATGCAATCTACTCCTTTGCATGAGCTGTGAGGGAAATATGACAGAGAGGAGGGGCAATGATATGTCCCTGCCAGGGCTGCACCTGGAGGATAACTTCACCAGGACAGAACTGATGCACAGACCCAGTCACAGGAGAATCTCACAGTTCATCTGGATCATTTAAGGATTAAGAAGGCTCTCTCTGCAGCTTCTGGACTACCACCCATCTCACTGCTTCAAGTTATACTGAGGTTCCATACACAGAAGGCGACTGCAGAGGTTCAGTAACAATCAGGTACAACGCATTCAACAAAGTGATCTTTTCTCCTTCCTCTAGCATGGTACTAGTCAGTGGAACTTACTGAAATGATGAAAATGTTTGATAACTGAGCTGTATAATAAGGTAGCCATTAGCTACATGTAGCTACTGACTATGATATATGGCTAGTGTCACCAAGAAAGTAAAATTTTAATCTTATTTAATTTTAATTAAATTAAATGCAAATGTAACTGTATAATATAGTAGCCACTAGTCTCACATGGCTAACAGCTACTGTACTCAACAGCTCTAGCACTTAAAACTAGTATTTTGTTAATTCACTAGTTTACTGAGAACTGTAAGTCAACCACTAACTTTCTTCAGTAGCCTGTTTGTCATTTCTGTACTCCCAAGGCCTTAGGATATCTTTCAGAAAATGAGCTCTCACAAGTAACCATTCTCTTAGAACACCTGCCCCCTTTGCTGCTGTTCTTTCCACTTACTCTCGGAAACACAGACTTCATTTTAAAGCTGCCCACACAATCGAATTCAGACTCTCTTTTCACTAGAGATCAATTTAATGTTATTCAAGTTTATAAATTTTATGGGAGTTTTTCTTTCATAAATTAATAATCTCTGCCCCAGAACTTCCCTGTTTATGCGCATTTTTGTGGCGGAGAGGGTGAGGCAGGGGAAGATGGCAAAAGACTGTAGGCTACTGTGCAGTAAACCTGTTCTTAAGCTTCTCTGTTTTTTTACCTGGTGGAGTTTCTTTGAACTGCTTGGCTACTCTGTTGTCCACTGCCCTGCAGAGGGGAATCCCGTCGGGACAGAACCGGGGAACGAGACGTTGTTCTCACAGGAACCTTTGGGTAAAAAATACAGCAATTACGTTCTTGAAAATATGAAGAGAAAAAAAGATTTCCCTACCAAAACATATTTTTACAGCAGTCCTAATTATGTTAGCCTTATTATGTCACTGACCTACCCCCAATCCTGATCATTCTCTGCCCCCCATTTATACAACAGAAAGAGAAAACTTAATCAAAGGCATCAAAGAAGCCAGGACAAATAGCCCTTCTATGCTTCTGTAGCATTTAAATGATGTTTGGACTAAAGTTTGGTGGCAGGGGACACACAAAGCATTTCACTGAGATAATGTGAGAATCAGGAAAATAAGCTAAAAGAAACCAAACGATGTCTATAAATGCATCAGTAGGAAACAAAGATTGGTAGGAAGCAAGAAAATATTCATAGGAAGCAAATACCAAGTAGAGGAAAATTAAACTAAAATATGTCCTTGTGTTTAATTTCACCATTAATTACTAAAAAAAAAACCCCTAAAAATTAAAAAAAAAATTGAAAAAGCAAAACCAAACCAAAAGTTTCTCAATTTAAAAAGAAAAAAGTATTTTTTGAAATTTTTGTTAATTTTTTTCATTATGAGATCTTTTCTGAACATTTGGATAATGGTTTCTCACTTTGTAGCTTCTGTATTAACATATAAGACAACTGCTAAAATATATGTTGATCCTACTTATTCTAAAAACATACTCTTTAAAGACTTACTCTTAACTTATTTTGTTACCTAGTGTTTAAACATAGAGTTAACAATAACAATAGATAGCTAACTATCACTAGGTGAATATAACTCTGAAGTGCGGAACCTTCGCCCCACTTTAAGAAGTTCCTTTGAAATTTCATTGCCCCTTAATTTAGGTGAAGTCATTATACCCTTTAGTAAAATAAATAATTTTTTAAAATAACAAAAAGGAAAAAGAAGCACACATCTGTCTTTCTGCTTCTTACCCTTGGAGGCACCTCGTCACTGTCTGATCTAGACCAAGCCTTTTGGGTGGGGTCAGGTACCTCCGACTTAGAGTCAGAACTTTGACTTAGCACCTCACTGCGGGAAGGTGGACATGGGTCCTGAGAGCGAAGATGGTGGTGTGCAAATTTGGGAGGAGAAGGGTCACTGAAGGAATGGGATCGCGAGACAGGGGAAACATTGTTCTTGAGAGATGCCAGGTGGGACCACTGTACCTTACAAGAAAACAAAACACAAAACATTCAATGTGTTCTGCATAAAATGCTTTTCTGGTCAATACCAAATCCAAAGCAAGGAACTGGGAAATGTAAACTGCGTGCTATAGTATTAGGTAAGCCAGGAGGCAAAACAGTTACACTTTAAAGTAAAGAAGTGATCTGGGGAACACAATATGTAGCAAAAGAACAAATGTACACTTAAAAGGAAAACTCTTTTAATATCCAGATAAACATTACAGATAGCAATAAACAAAAAGATTTTTTTAAAAAAGGCTTATAGAACTCCTGACCTAATGGGGGGGATAACGTGCTACATGCACATCCACATCGAAGCAGAGACTGGACAGGCAGAGGAAGAGATCACAAGATAACACTGCCATACGTGCAGACCTATCTATCCACCTGCAGAGTAAGATTTCAGACCACATAACAATAAAACAATACATTTAATGAGCAAAGACAGACCCCCCTCATGTTTTGACAGACTATAATACAGGGTCCGGCAGAAGAAACGCCTGCTTGAGTGTGGCTGGTAGGGTAATAATATGGGTGTAGTAATTTAAAGTTTTAATTTGAACATTTTACCTAAAATGTCATATAGTGTGCTTGAGTGTGATATTGTTATGTTATAGAATTACATGCTTCTGATTTTGTAATGAAAGATTTTGTAATAATAAGGGGCGTTATTCACGCTGGACCCTGTAGAATAACTTAGAAACAGCCAACTTTTCAAATATACCAACAATTTTCTTTCTTTTTCCAAGTCCTAAAGCACTCAAACCCTAGATCTGCATATATCTTCATACTAGTTATGAAAAAAAGAACTTTAATTTCTTTAGAAATGTTCATTAGTATGATTCCCTTAATTGACCTTCTACTTGTTAACTGAATTTATCTGGTTGCTTTTAAACTGGGAAAACAATCTCTGAAATAATCTGTATTTTCTTTAAATTATATTTTATTATTTTAAAATGTGTTCAATACTGCAATTTACATTATTCCAGCTATATATCTATTACATCAATGCATTTAAAGAAAACTGGAAATGCCAATCACAATTGGTTCAACCTTCCCAATAGCAAGACTCAAAATTAGTTCCAGATTTATGACTTCTGGGTGACAATGACATAAACTCTAGTTATGGTTATAACCTCAGATACCTGAAATGTTTTAAATTTTTAGGGGAAAAAGCATAGAACTGACAGTATTATTTATAACACAAATTTTTTGAAACAAGTTTTAGAATAGTCCTACCTGAAAAAAGTTTCCCCAAAGAGAATGTTTTCATAGGTGTATGTTTCAGGCAAAAGCAACTTTACACAGGAGGAAAAGGGAGACTATTTCCAGGTACTATGTTAATTAATCATTAATATAAAAAGGAGCATACATAATTCAGGAACTTCTATTTTCTACACTTCTAGTGGTCAATGCATAAAGATATTCTATTTATGGTAGTTTCTAACTTTCAGAATAAATTTAATACCTGACTCTTCACAGGAATGTCATCAAGTGTATTCTACCAGTCCCTCCTCCCTTCCCTTCCCCTCCCTTTCTTCCCTTTGCCCTTTTCTGCTGTCCTCTGCTCCCTTCTTTCCATCCCTTGTTCTCTGGAGTTACCATTGGCTTTTGGGACAGCTTTTCTGAGAATCAAGAAGCTGCTGATCCCATGTAAACACCTCCCACTACCCAATACACTTCTTCCCCGACTCAACACACACCCACAATATCTCATGGTAAGGTCCTGGTTCTTTATTGTTTGAACTCCTCCATACTAGGTTTATTTACTGTAAAGCACATTCAAATCATCATTTGAATTTGTTTTTCCAAACACCAAAGCTAATTCTATCACAAGAAACTGAACTTTTGCCTCCCAACATATAATAAACATCAGTAGCAAGTAAATTTAAGCTTAATAACTTGTTTCCAATATTCTGGGTTACATAGCTGCACGGAGCATAATGTCTAAAACTCAGTTATTTTCATCAAGAAAGTGGGAATCAATGGAATCTAAGATGTTTACTGTGGGTACCCTTAGCTATTTATTTCCCTCTCCAGACAACAGACAGGACTCCTAACAGCAGTACTCAGCCCAGAGGTTCTCCCTCACCTAGACAGGCCATGGTCAACCACTGAGAGCTGTGACACTGACGTGCTTCAGGGAAAGCTACACCTGATCCATTCCATTAGATTGTAACTTTTCTTTAGACTTCTGAACCTTCTGAGAATCCAATAAAAGACTCTTTTTTTGGGGAAAAAAAAGTACACATCTGGACAAACAAAAAACTTGTAGATAGAATTTCAGGGTTGTCATTGGCTCTCTGAAGCCCATGCATGGAACATGCGAGGCACCAAAGATCACAGGTTAAGAAAAGGTTCTGGTTCTCCCTCTATGTACTTGTAACATGAGCTTTCTAAAAACCAAACTGAAAAAATCTGTATTAGACTAAGAAGGCACTATTCATGAACACCTGATTTAGAGAAGGAAAAACATTAGACTAAGAGAAGATATTACTGAATCTAAAAATTCTTAGTAAGTACAATAAAAGTCTTAAAAAATTCCTTCTTTTCCCTATCAACTGAGGGCATGTCCTCTTTAAGCTGGTCTAAACTCACTCCTGCTTCTCTCTTCTCTTTCTAAATGTGGTAACACACCAAAATGTAAACTATGAATAGGCCGGTGGCTCAGTGAGTTATCACGTGCATCTCCTTGACTCACAGCCACTGGCTGTCGCTACCTGTGGCTCAGCTGGTCTCTGCAGGGCAGGATGTACAGACTCGGAGTTGCCATTGGAAAAAGACTCTGATCTGGAAGGCACTGGTGGCTCCAATATTCTGCCTGTCTGCTTAGACTGGGCTTCAGGGGAGCTGTGGTTAGTTTTCCTATATCTATCTTCCACCTGTGTCAGAGAATTAGAAGACATAACTCAGTGTTAGTGGGGAAAAGCAGATACCAATCTGGGAGTGGATGGACTGTAAAGAGAAATTTTCTGTTTACTTCAACTACAGGAAAACAAAGGTGTGGTTTTAAAAGGGAGAAGGCAAATGAAGCAGGACCAGGATTTGATTCAGGATAAAGAAATACTTATGAGAATAAAAGTTAAAAAAGACAGCATTTAAATACTTCTCCTGGCAAGAATTCTAGGGTTGTACATGAGGGTAATAAAACCAGAAAAAAAAAATCAAATATGTCACTAAACCAACAGATTAAAAAGTTGACATCAGGCATCCAAAACACATTTCATTCCAGCAAAAAAAGGGCACTCCAGAACACTTGTTCCCAGTATCTAAGTCTCTGTGAGGGCCAGAAACAGTAAAAGGGTGCCACCTACAGGCTAGGATTCAACATACTCTAGAGGCTGACCAGCCAGCTCCCTAGTTTCATAGGATCCCTAAACAGTGACTGCTTTGCCATATCCTTACTGGGAGGTTCTTCCAAATACACCAATTTAGTAACAAATCAGGTTCACTGAAAAGTCAGTGAATCAGGCTGTATGCACACTTCATCCTCACTGCAATTCTGGAAAAATAGTTAACCAGGCCATCATCTCCCTCATTTACATTTTAAAGAATAACTTTGCCATATAATCTTCCCCCTTTTTGTTTAGTTTAGTATTCAATTCACCTGAGAATTGTTAATAATGGCACTCTGGTCCTCTATAGACAACATTTAACTAGATAAGTGAGAGTCCCCTCACTTCTCAGAACCTCAATTTCTCAGCTAGAAAACCAAGTGGGTGGATCACCAGCTGAAGTCTATGCCCCCTTCTAGCATTATTACTATTCTATTCTTAAGAGTCAGAGAATCAAAACAGGATCAATGTCTAAGCAAGGCAGGAAAGCAGATACCTCTCGAGCTCTGTCAGCAGGCTCAAAGTGGGGTTTGGGCTCTGGTGCATGGTAGCTTGGCTTGCTCCTTTCCTGTTGCGGTGGCAGCTGCTGCTGTGGGTGCGGCCTCCGGTGGTCATGCTGTAGAGACAGGAGATATGCTTGTTCTTGTTGCAACTGTCTCTGGAGCCTCTCTGCCTGCCGGTGCTCCTCCATCTCCCGCCATCGGCACTCCTTGGGGAGGGAGAGAACACTAAATCTATGGAACAATGGAAAGCTTGCCTCTTCTTCAATCCAGTCTCAACTTTTTTTTTTTAAAGATCATGCTATTTTTTTCCCCATGTTTTGTAACAAAGCAAAATGGGTGGGATTTTACGTAGCATATTACCTGTGGAAAAATCTGACAGCTTGTTGCTAACAATAATATCACTGGACAGAGTAGAGAGAATTCAATTAAAAGTAGGTAGCAGTGATTTCAAAAGGTACCTAGAGTAAACTAGGTAAAAAATCCTATGGCAAGTGCTTTGAACCTTCAGCCCTTAGCATTCTTGTTTGTTCACTGAGTCCCAACTTCTATTCAAAACCTGTCTATCTACCAAATGAGAACAATTAAGTGATTAATGGGAAATAAGTAAATAAATAAAAGCCACCTGAAAATCTGCCCCAAGCATCAGGGCCACAGAGGATGTCTCCACTTGAGCCTGTCAGCCCATAGCACTAACCAGAATGGTCTGGTGACAAACACAGCTCTGCCTGGTTTAGGGGAAGGGTGGGCACTACAGAACAAGACAGATATGGGCGTTACCAGTAACATGGCCTGCTCCTGGAGCAGCTGCTGCTGAAGGAGTTCCAAGTGCCGCTGCTCCTCTTCTAGCTGTCGCCTGATAAACTCCTGTCACACAGAAATTACCCAGCAATCAATTTATCCAAAAGGAAAGCATCAGAACCACCTGAAGGGAGCACCAAGGACCATCTGCCCCACTGTCTTTACTAAGTGGTAATTCACTTAGTAAGTAACTTCTAATAAAATCTTTTGATAATGATTTTCTCAAGAACGTCAAACTGGCCACTAAGACCTGGAGTCTAAAAATGATGACATGCCCTCCAATGGTATACATAAAGGTATCTGGAAGTTTTTCTATTAGAGCACAGCTGTTATACACAAATGCTGGGTTTTAAAGGACTGTGATGTACCCCTGAAGATGGCAGACTCTGTAGAAATCAGGAGTTTAATTTTAGGAAAGCAGACGGTTCTCATTAATAAATGTCTGCTCACTACTCATTATTTTTAACAATCATAGGTTGCCAATTTTTAAAACCCCAAACCAAATCTGTTTAATATTAAAATAAAATAAGCATGATTTGTGTTTTCTCTGATGATACAGAAGGTACCTAGAATGACTATATTCTAGAAGCCATGGTCTGGGAACACGAGACTCAGGCAACTTTTCACAAATGGATAGGCCCAGGTTCTTCATGATGAGGGGGTGGGTGAGGATGTTGGGGGTGGGGGGGACATGTGTCTCTGTGAGAGAGAGAAAGGAAAGGGTGAGGGTAAACGGTTTCCAATGAGAAAAGAAAGACAAACAATGAAAACAGGTAAACACATCCAAAATATGTATACAAAGAGGAAAAATCCAATCTTGAAGCTGCATGCATATTTAATGGACTTGGAAATCAAAAGACCTTAGCCTATGACCTCTAGCCAGCCCTCAACCTCCCATTTCCTTAGTCTCCTCATCTGAGAAACTAGTACCAAAAACATTCTCTCCCAACTCTCAGAATTTTTTTATGACGTTCAAATATGAGATAGATATAAAATAACTTTAAAAAACCAAATCTTTTACAGACAAAAGAAGTTTCCTTCCTTTTCAAAGGGAAGAAAGCTAAGTACTTTAGAAGGAAAAGTAGGTTAAGGGGCCCATAAGGGGAAATTTTATTCTGAAAGTCAGGTTATTTCTTTATAGGGCTGCTGCTAATAATGCACCGATACCAAGTTGCACACTCTAAGATAAAAATAACCACACATTTGGGCTGAACACAAGTTTTCATTACCCAATAAGTCTAATTGAAAGAATGACGGATAACAGAAATTATGAGATATAAATTTTCTTAGGTTTATCTTACAAAGCAAATTTGGTACCATCCCCTCCCCCCAAAAAAGCCAGTCCAGGGGAAGCCTATCCATAAGACCAGTGGCAAATGCACCATTACAACCTGGGATACATTTAAGCCTAACCATCTGTGATACATGTGATGCCAAGGACTGCCCTAGCATGGAGTATGGCTTTTACCAGCAATGGCTGAGAAAGGAATCTAACTCCCAACTCATGTCTGCTTTGAACTAGATGGAATTAAACCATAAATTAAAGGATCGTATAGTACACTCATTTGTTTTCTGCCTTCAAAACACAGGGAAAACTGAAAAATCCACATTTATCCAAATCACAAAGGTCCTAACCCACAGTCAATGAACACGCAGAACAAAATTACACATGTACACGAACATGCATACTTATGCAGAAATGTTTCCCAAAGCACTGTTAACTTGGGAATAATTTTTTGCAATAGAGTAAGGAAAGCAGAATAAAACTGATTTTTGATGCTATTTTTTTAAAGAGGAGGTGAAGAATACTTGCTACATACAAAAGCTAATGACTGCCATTAGAATAGCAAAGACTGAGTATTACTTTCATACCATCCTGTCACAATCAAATTGTGAGAATTAAATTGACTTAATGTTTAAAACATGTAGTATATGTTTTCTCTTCTTTGCAGTCCCTAAGTGTAAATCAGAAAGTGAAACAAAACCAACTAAAACACACCACAGTTACCTGGTCCATGATGTCACTAAGGTAACAGATAAAGGATATCACTTAAATCCTAGGAGAAACCAGTAACGCAACAGACAGGCCCAAGTTTCAGAAAACCATAGGCATAACATTATGTCAAGGATAATAACTGGATAACCAAATTTGGAAGTTAATACCATTGTTTTCAAGTACTTTAAGTATCAATCTCAAGTGTTATTTAAATTTGTCTCCATTCATATCTGTTTTTCTTTATTCAAAGCTCGTAACAAAGAGTGATTCATCCAAAGACATGAAATGCAAGGAGGCTAGTAATGGGATGCACACTGACAACACGGACAACAGACAGCTCAGCCCATTTCCGTTTGCACAGGTGGTTCAGGAAACAGATTTCTAAAGACAACTACATCTGGCATTAATAAAATGCTATAAATATTACCAAAACCTGATCTTTTTCTGGTTAAACAAAACAACGTTGTTACATTATTACATGCCACATGTGTATATACTGAATTATATGCAAATATATATATTAAATATTCAGTTAGCCAGTGGCTACTTCAAATATTGCTCCTAAGAAATTTTGTACAGTTGGTTTTTAATTTCACTTTAAAAAGGTTAATTATCTTCAGATATGTTAGGTTTGAAGGATTTTAGCCTCACAAGAGAAAGCATATTCAGAAATCTTTGAGCCATCACATTATGTTATCTACTTTCCTAGTTTCAAGATTTCTTAAGTGTAATAATTTATATATATTTTTTTAAAGACAAGAGACTCAATTTACTGGTGCACTTCCATGTCCTGAATATGTGCATGCACATGTATGTATATTTTTGCCCCAAATACCCCAACTCTACAAAGTAACAGACCTCACAAACTAACAGCTGGAATGTTCTTTGTGAACTAACCTGCTCCCTTTCCACTCTCCTCTTCTCTTCTTCTGCCCGTCTCCTATCCTCTTCCTCTTTACGCCTTCTCTCCAGTTCCTCCAAACGCCTCTTCTCTTCTTGTTCTCTTCTTCTCTGCTCACGTTCCTGTTGCCTTCTAGCTTCACGCTCTCTCCTTTGTTGCTACGTAAGGAAAGATGTAATCAGCAGGGACCTTCTCGGTATGGCTCTCAGGACAGTTTGCTGACCAGTTACAGCAAATTAGGGGGCATTCATGAACCTCATCTCTACTGGCCAATTATCCCACGCTGTCCCTCTACCCTTATGTACCAACTTCTTCATAAATACTGATCAAAGGTGCTGTGTTTCTGTGAATCTTTATAGGGTTTGGTTTCATTTTTATATCAATTATTCTCCATTCTTCACTGTACCCCAGCAATTAGGCAACAGAGAATTAATTCTTAATCCTTGAGTATCTCTGTTACCCAAGGCCCTAATCAGAAGAAAAACACAAAAGAGAACAAAATAAAGGAAAATAGAAATAGGGCAGGTAAGTAAAGGAGAGAAATAATTAAAAAGAAGGGGGAGAAAAGGCACATGTCAGGAAAAGAGGAACTGATGTCAACCAGAATAAGAAATGCCATTACTACTACTATGAATATATTAATAAATAACTGCTTTTGAGCACATGCTTACTACACATCTCACACTGTGCTAAGTATTCTATACTTGATATTCTTTATTCCTTGTACTTTACCTGACACAATTCTCATAACAAACCCAGGAAAGGAGGTATTTCATTCCCATTCTACAGATGACAAAAGAGGTTCAGAAAAGTTAAGGAACTTGACCAGTGTCACTGGCTAGTAAGCACCCAGCTGTAAGGGTCACTCTGTCTCTAAAGACTATCCTGTTAACTAGACATCATCTTACATCCCATCACCAGGTACAAAAGGTACCACTGACTCATCAGACAATCTCTGACAGCCTTTCCTACTCTAGGCTGTTTTATTTAACACCACAGTATAGAGCAATGTGACACAAGGGGCACTTCTCTGGCTTGCTTCATCCAGGCCCAGATGCCTGTGAGTAAAGTCCTTCCTCAGTGAAAAGTGTAAAATTAACAAGATCTTCCTGTGAATTGAAAAAAAAAATGCTAGCCTCTAAATAGGCACTGTCCAATACAACTCTCTGGGATGATGAAAATGTTGTCTCACAACCATTCAATACAGTGGCCACTAGCCACATGCTATTACTAAGTACCTGAAATGTGTCTAGTACAATTGAGAAAGTGAGTTCCTAATTTTATTTCATTAAAGTTAATTTAAATAATCATGTGGTTAGTGGCTACTATATTAGCCATTGCATTTCTCAAGACACAAAAAGCCAGTATTATTACCACAAACTTTAATGTGACAGATTAAATATTTAAAAAAAAAACAACTTTGGGGTAAAGCACTGAGAATATTAGACACAAATATTTAAAATAGATATAGAAAATAAAGTGTTTATTGTAGTCTAAGTTTTCCTTCTGGGCTTTTCCCCTGACCCTGAACTAGCATTCAATCTAAAGGTATACACTCAAAAATGATTTCCTGTCCAATGTACAGCATCTTACTTCTGGAATAACTGAATAGAAAAAATTACTTGGTGCCTGTTCTCTTTCAGTTGAGTAATACATCAGCATTATTCTCAATGAAGCTTGGGTGAGCTTTTGGCCCCACCTCCTCTCTCATTTAATACATTCCATGTTTTATAGTGCGCGCCCCCTGCCATGGTCTGCTCTTAGAATTTAATGCATAAAACTCACCAGTTTCCCATGGGTGGGGGTGAAATCAGGAGAAGAACCATGTTCCTGTCCTGGTGTTTAAAACCAACAATGCCCCCATACAATGCACTTGCTGCCTGTTGCTTAACGTCTTTATATTTTTTTAAATCTTAGAAAAAGGGAAAAATGAGCCACTAGAGTGCATTCAAAACCCCGTCGAGGAGGACAACTGTGAGCAACTGTCCATATGATGTAGAACTCAAAAGCTGGGCTTTCGGCACCGAGACCCTCTGTCCTGTGTTGTCTGCATGGGGCCAAAGGAGGGCATGCCTCTCGGCCCTGCACACTGCCCCGCACCTCTTAGGGGGAGAGCTTTTTCTTTCCTAAAGCTAGCTACCAGAACATAAAACAAAAACACTTCTCCTACCCCAGGACTCCAAGAAAAACATAAAAGAAACCTGAGATCAGAAATCTGCTAGTCATATCCAAGCAGTGGTACTGGAGCCTTTCTTTTTCAAAGCAAATTAAGCAAAGACCTTTTATTTTATACCTGTAGCTTTTTCTATACAGGAGCAAAAAAAATTGACTTTTACCAGTTTATCACTTACACTAAATACACTAGCTGAGAACACAGCCATTTTTCTAACACCAGCAATAAAAATCATTATAATTTGCCAGTTGGGAAGCATGTGTTTCTTTGCTTTAAATAGAAATTTTTTCATTCTTTCACATATTCCTGGCTAGCCAAGTTTTTCAACGGAAAACATCTTTTGAATTTTTTTGAGTAAAAATATATTAAAGATAAAATAAAAAGCCTTTCGATAAACCTGAAGCTGAAATTAAAAGAAGAAATGTCTCTTACTCAGTTTTAAAGCTTAAACCACGAGTGTTCTTTTTGAAAAGATAAAAGTGGAAGAGTCTGGAAGCTTCATTCCGGAGGAGCAGTGAAGAGTAGCTTCATGCATAAAGCTACTTTATGCAAGCACCGCTTGCTGCTTAAGTTCTGAGGAACAATCGTGGTGAAGCTCGGGACAGCCATGACACTTTGAGGTTTATAAAAGAGAAATAAGTTGCTACCATACACTGGGGTTAGCAAATACCTGGAGGCCTGGGAGAAAGGGTCTCACCTTCTGGATGAAAGAAAGAGCCCACAGTCACAGGCAGAGAGCTTCCTACATGGGCATGTAAGTAACTTCCCTTTGCCAGACAAAAGGAAAACAGAAGAAAACAAAAACACAAGAAAGGCAGCTTCTGTCTACACCCTCAAAATTCTCCCTCAGCTTCACATATTTCAAGTCCCAAGCCAATCAGAATATGGACATGTAAAAAGAGGCAAAGGATATTATATACTGAGTTTTACAACATTCATATAACAAAGTAGTCAAGATGGGCTAGCAGGGTTCTCTGAGAAGTTTCAGTATGCACCATGGAATTCTAAAGAGACAACTGAAAGGGCTGTTACTGGGGGTTCCGGTCCTGACTCTGCTGCCCTGGTACAAGCCACTTACCCTCAATGAGCCTCAGTTTCCTGACTTGTCAAAAGGTGGAGTGGAAGTAGGAAGGAAGCAGTCTATACTAGGTATCATTATGGAATAGAGTCTAAATTAAAAATTTCTGGAGAGAACCAAGATGGCAGAGGAGTGACTGGAAGTCACACTGACCTCATCGTAGGACCAACCTGGAATTACAACTAAATTGTGTAGAAATCACCTGGAATAACAACTGAACAATAGGAAGAGAGGAGTCTTATAACTTTGGACAGACAGAAGAATCAGCTTTAGTATAATCTAACTTATAAGACGAGTGGTACAGACTCAAGAAGGCAGGTGGAGTGCTCACTGGCAGCAGCACCAAACAGATATTGAAACTGACATTTGGGAGGAAAAGAGATGGCGGAGGAGGGAATGGGAGTCACGCGGACCTCCTCCCAAGAACGAACTGGAACTGCGACTAAATAGTGGAGAAATCACCTGGAAAACAACGGAACAATACAGGGAGAGGACCCTTGGAGTTGCAGACAAACAGTGGAATCAACTTTCACACATCCCAACAGGTGAGAAGTGCAGTGGAGGCTCCAGAGGGTGGGCTGGGAGCCCACGGGCACCAGCACCAGAGGGACATTGAAACGGCCAGTTGGAGCCCCCTGAGAAGAACAGGGCCTGAACCATAAGCAGGGACCCATAGACTACGGCAGCTAAAACCAGGAAAACATACAGACAAAACGCAACCCCAAAAAGCTCAGGGGGGCTCTCTGCCACAGACAGGCGGCTGGGGATGCAAAGAGACGTTTAAAGGGCCAACACAAAAATTGCAGTGGCAGCCACCCTCCTTGATCTCTGGGTAGAGGTGGCAGCAGATGGGCTGGTACCTGAGGAAAGATTGGTGAGGAAAACTTTGGGAAGAGAACTGACACGGTGGCCGGTGGAACCCGGGTGATAACTCACCTCCCACTCTGCACTACCATCTCACTGGGGAATAAGTGAATCAATTAACCTGCCTTTTGCGTGCTCCACACGCAGCTTGTACACATGCAGGCTGGGGGCTGAGTGCAGAAAGGCTGGAAGAAATAGAGGATCCCTGGCCAAAGGGGAAACACAGCTGCACAGAGACCCTGGAGGAGAAACTGGAGAAGGAGGGGTTGGGGAAACATCTGGAGGATTAACCGAGATTCCTAGAGCAGACTCCCTCCCCATTCCATAGTCCCCAGTTTGCGCAGGCAGGCCACGTCCCCAAAGAGGCAGAAGTGGCTGGGCGAGCCAAAAGGTACGTGATTACAACTCAGTCCACAGAAATAGTGGATCCCTGGCTGAAGGGGTCACAGAGCTGCCAAGAGACACTCGGGGAGAGACTGGAGACAGAGGCATTGGGGAGTCCCAGTGCTGACTATTCCCCAGTCCATGATCTACATCTTGCTCAGGCGGACTACTCCCCTGAGTGACACCAGCCTATAAGGGCACGATAGTCCCGCCATCAGGAGGCACTGCTCCGCCCTGTGGTGACTAACCCTGACAGATAAGGACAGAGTGACCAGATTGAAAATCACAGGAGTCAGAAACAGACAGTAGATTCCTGGAAGGCTGAAACAAATGGCCCAAGATCAGATAGAGTCAACAACTGACACCATCAGAGACAGAACTACAAAGAAAAGTAAAGAAAAAAATGAATAAATAAAATGAACCGCCTATTGACATAGAAGTTTAATCCACAAAGTCAGGAAATCTAGACAGATCAATTAAAGCAGAAGGAAAAAAAAGACTCTGACAAGAAAGAAAAGAAAAAGAAGTTCTCCTCAAATGAGGGGAAAGGAGGAATCTCCACAGAGAGACCTAAATGAAATAGAGGCAAGGGAACTATCAAATATTGAATTGAAAACAAAGGCTCTAAGGAAGCTCCGTGAGCTCAACCAGCCCAAAGA